AGAATGAATGAGCATTTTCAATAAAACTGATGTTTTTTTCAGAGGTCAGACAAATGCAAAAATTGACCCATGTTTTTACCTTGCAAACACGCAGAGCTTTGAATGTGAACTGGTGGATCAATAAGAATAATCTAAACAGAATAGGGGTGTGCGATATGTATGGTCTGCGATAATATCGTAATTGTTGTTTTGACGTTGTGCAATTTGATATTATCGAGTATATCGCGAAAAGCAAACAAAACACCTACAGTGCGCATACATTAGATGAAGTCTAGCAGGTTAGACTAATGCACGTGCACATTTATAGTGTGTTCTTTCACTGCATGAATCAGTCTATTAAAATGCATTTAGAATTATCACATAATTCAAGAGGAAATATAAATGTATATATTTATATCATTTCATATAGTTAATATCACACGAAAAGTGCCGTTTTTTTCTCCAAAAGTCAGCATGATTACAAATGTGATATTGATTTTATACAACAGTTCAATAAACAAGAAGTTAAGATTAAGAGACTTACGTTTTAGACACCATATTTCCTGTTTTTGCTCTATTTCTCCAACAAAAATCATTCCAAACACAGCCACAATGCTGTTTTGTGTCTCTGAGCAACATGACGGTGTTTAGTTTCTGAATGAATCACCCGTTTAAATGATTCGGTTCAATCCCAATGACTCACTTAATAGTGACTTGCTGCCACCTACTGGCAGTTTTAATTTCACATTTAAGGTACCTTTTCATTTTTTAAATAATTTCAAACATCAGTTTTTAATGTTTTATGTTTAAAATATCAAAACATTATGATTTCATTTGCTTGGTAACAACCCAAATGCAAGAATTTGACTCAATTTGTTCACACTTTTAGAAAAATTGGCTTAAAGGTAAAAATGCCCATAAAACTTGTTGGAAATTATTAATTTATATCACTGCTGTGAACTGACCACACAGAAAACTCAGGAGTCAGCTGTCAGCACAATTAGAGATAAGATATCAGCACAATAACACCTTCAGCAAAATATTGTCTAATTATCGTTATTGATAAAATCCCTGTAAATTATCGAGATATAATTTTTTGTCAATATCGCACACCCCTAATTTATGTTATTTAATTGATATAATAATTTATTGTGAATAATTGTTTAAATTAATATAGTAATTAATATTTTTGACTCATCCATTTTCTTAAAAATGGTTTAAAGGCTAAAATATAAAGTTTATCATTTTATAAAACTTTTTTGTTTTTGTGAAAACTTGTATCTGAACTGTAAATTATGCTTTTTACAGTTTAATATGGTACTATAGACATTGCCCTACCCCGCTCATATGGTATTAATTTTATTTGTGCAGGTCTTAAAAAGGTCTTAAATTTGAGCTTAAAAATCCTGCAGAAACCCTGTATTATAAACTGCTCAAAATACCTTTGTAACTGCATAGAAATGATCTGGCAATCACCCAACCTAGCATTGGGGTGCCAAGTTTTACATGCAGAAGGTGAAACAGTTTATATTTGACTTTGACTTTTTTTTTTTTTTGATGGGAAGATATTGGGAAAGGAATTACTTCCCTTTTGCTTTCTTTTGATTAAAATTGAGCCTCTTTTTGTTACTCAATTTATTTTTCTTCAGTCAGTCTTCCATTACGGCTCTAATCCATCCCATCAGCGGTCTGCCCTCCATTTGTCCCTCTGTACCTTTTACAGCTTTATTCCCCTGCTGGTTATTCAACAAATGATCAATGTTCATATCTTCTCCATCTGTCATGAATCATATATTCTTAATTCAGAACCATTCACCTATGCCATACGCCTCACTTTCTTTCTCATTGCACTTCTGTAAAGCGGTTGACTGACTGATAAGCACATTGTTCTAGAAGCTTTCTTTCGTTCAGACTTCTTAATTAACCCTCAGGGCAGCCACAGCTGAACCAAGAGACATTCAAACTGCTGCCTTTAACGCACTTACTTTTTTCATTTTGTCAGAGGCATTTTAAGTCAAACTGAAATCAAAATGGACACTATTTACTTTCTTAAAGGGTTAGTTTCACCCAAAAATGAAAATTAGCCCATGAATTCGCTACTCACCCTCAAGCCATCCTAGGTGTATATGACTTTCTTCTTTCAGATGAATCCAGTCGGAGTTATATTAAAAATTGTCTTTGATCTTCCAAGCTGTTTAATGACAGACCGCTGGTGTTGCAGTTCATCAGTCCAAAAGAAGTGAATTAAAGCGCATCCATCCATAAAAAAACGTGCCTCACACAGCTCCGGGGGGTGAACAAAGGCCTCCTGTAGCGAATCAATGCGTTTTTGTAAGAAAAATAACCATATTTAAAACGTAATAATCACTTTAATCTAGCTTGCGCACACTGTTGTACACGGAAACAGCTCCGGGCGGATGACGTAGGATGTCGGCGTTGAGCATGCGCCGCTCAGAAGTGACGAACGCGGAAGCGCAGGGGAGAGTTGGTTTTCACGAGACTCACCGGCGCATGCGCAACGCTGACCTCATACGTCATCCTCCCGGAGCTGCTTCCGTGAACAACTGTTGGCGCAAGCTAGATTAATGTGATTATTAAGTTTTGAATATGGATATTTTTCTTACAAAAACACATCGATTCGCTACAGGAGGCCTTTGTTCACCCCCCGGAGCCGTGTAAGGCAGTTTTTATTATGGAAGGATGCGCTTTATTTCACTTCTTTTGGACTGATGAACTGCAACACCCGTCATTAAACAGCTCGGAAGATCGAAGACAATTTTTAATATAACTGATTGGATTCATCTGAAAGAAGGACATCATATATACCTAGGATGGTTTGAGGGTGAGTAAATAATGGGCTAATTTTCATTTTTGGGTGAACTATCCCTTTAATGCATGCTCCTGGTCTTAAAGCAATTCTCCAACCAAAATGAACATTCTCTCATAATTTACTCACTCCAATGCCATCCCAGATGTTTATGGCTTTCACCTGTGGATAAAAAGGGAACAATATTTTTAGTAAAAGAATCCATCTCTGTGAGCCCATGTAATGGAAGTAGATGGGAACCTCTAAAAAAAATGACTCTAGAAAGTATCGAGGGTTAGTAAATTATACGAAAATTTTGATTTCTTTGAGGCCCATTCGTGCCAAAAATGTTAACTATTAATATAACTATAACTAACTACAGTATATTAGCATCCACATCAACAGACAATAACATTCTGTTTATTATAACCACAGGCTGTAGATATTTCAGCTGCCTTTTTAATTGTTCAAGTTGTTTAAAGTTGGTGGATTCTAACTGGCTGTCAACGCTTTTATTATTCATCAAATAAAAAATATTTTTAAAAAGTTCTGAAAGTGCCATCATCTTGGCTGTGGAGCGGAGAACATATTGTTAACCAATAAACGGTAGTTATTGTAATGTTATTGTAGTTTTAGGCTACTGTTGTTGGTCAGTGCAGCATTTCTAATGTATTGTCTCTGTTCATGTTAGTCAACAATGATTACAGGAATAATAGCAAGTAATGGTACATTCACAAAGAAGCATAATTATTAAGATATAGCCCATGAAAACGCTTTGTTTATAGTAATTTATGGTATAGTCTATAATTATAAATAGTAATCCAGCTATTTTTTTGAAGATCTTCAGACATTTGTTGGTCGAAACATTAATTTCAAATGGTCATACTTTAAATTGTGAACATACCAGAGTAGTTCTCCATGCTCAAGTAGACCTTAAGCCTCCACATCCTCTTGAAAAAAAAAAAAAGCCTCCTTTGATGGGTGCCGGCAGTCAAGTCAGTGTGTGGTGCTGGCCATTTTTCAGGATAGGAATAGTCTTCAACAATTACTGCAAACTCGTATTTAAGTCTGGCACTTGAGGGTGAGTAAATAATGGGCTAATTTTCATTTTTGGGTGAACTATCCCTTTAATGCATGCTCCTGGTCTTAAAGCAATTCTCCAACCAAAATGAACATTCTCTCATAATTTACTCACTCCAATGCCATCCCAGATGTTTATGGCTTTCACCTGTGGATAAAAAGGGAACAATATTTTTAGTAAAAGAATCCATCTCTGTGAGCCCATGTAATGGAAGTAGATGGGAACCTCTAAAAAAAATGACTCTAGAAAGTATCGAGGGTTAGTAAATTATACGAAAATTTTGATTTCTTTGAGGCCCATTCGTGCCAAAAATGTTAACTATTAATATAACTATAACTAACTACAGTATATTAGCATCCACATCAACAGACAATAACATTCTGTTTATTATAACCACAGGCTGTAGATATTTCAGCTGCCTTTTTAATTGTTCAAGTTGTTTAAAGTTGGTGGATTCTAACTGGCTGTCAACGCTTTTATTATTCATCAAATAAAAAATATTTTTAAAAAGTTCTGAAAGTGCCATCATCTTGGCTGTGGAGCGGAGAACATATTGTTAACCAATAAACGGTAGTTATTGTAATGTTATTGTAGTTTTAGGCTACTGTTGTTGGTCAGTGCAGCATTTCTAATGTATTGTCTCTGTTCATGTTAGTCAACAATGATTACAGGAATAATAGCAAGTAATGGTACATTCACAAAGAAGCATAATTATTAAGATATAGCCCATGAAAACGCTTTGTTTATAGTAATTTATGGTATAGTCTATAATTATAAATAGTAATCCGGCTATTTTTTTGAAGATCTTCAGACATTTGTTGGTCGAAACATTAATTTCAAATGGTCATACTTTAAATTGTGAACATTCCAGAGTAGTTCTCCATGCTCAAGTAGACCTTAAGCCTCCACATCCTCTTGAAAAAAAAAAAAAAGCCTCCTTGATGGGTGCCGGCAGTCAAGTCAGTGTGTGGTGCTGGCCATTTTTCAGGATAGGAATAGTCTTCAACAATTACTGCAAACTCGTATTTAAGTCTGGCACTGTTCTGGTATGGAACAATCATGATTCACGATCCAGTCAGTTCCCAATAGTCTATTTCACTCTGAAAAACATCACATTATGGAAGTAAAATTGGTTTCGCGTGCCATTTCATGTTTACTTCAAAGATGTTCATTTCAAAGATTTTACCTGTCCATTGGAGAATCATTCTGGGGCTTTTTTCTGTGTATAGGTTTGTGATTTTGTTCCTGCTACATATTTTCATGCCAAATTGTTTATGACAATTTTGACAAGCATTTGTCAAAATAAACCCATGTGACTGTCACTATTTTGAAGTGATAAATTTGTTGTTTGACAGCTAACAGAGTATACGCAAGGGTAAAATAATGTGTCTTGACAGTTTTCTGGCAGAGCATCAGTTGTAAAGTGCTGTGGAAGAAGTAATACTGAACATTCACTTTGTTTTAACTAGCAGGATTCATGGCTCAGTGGACTGTCTGTCAGAGCTTTCCTCATCTCGGATGAACTATTCTTTCACAGGTGAGCCATTCCGTTGTCTGCTGTCTGATTCCCTCTCCTCTGTCAAAGCTTTTAAGACTGAAGACAGTTTAGACATTCCTTTTTCATATAAAACTGTAGATTTTTAGATATTTGGTCACTTTTCAGTGGATGTTTGTGTTTGTTTTAATAAGGAATTCGACGCACTCTCAGCACTTCCTCAGCCATCGCCACGAAGAGAGAACCGAGCCGCAAAAGTCAAGCAAGCAGGTGAGAGTAATGTTTGAGATGTGTCATAATTTTCTGATCTCATTTTCATCATTGGTTTTTGCGATAATTGGCAACACCAGCTGCAGGATAGTCAGGTCTTATTAGACCATAATCTAAAGAAGCCCATATCTCCAGAAATTCCACTTTCTGGTAAATTTTCAGCTATATTTAAATAAATTGCAAGTAAAACAGAACTAAAAAGTTATTTTACCTGATAACTAACTAATATACAATAATGAACTAATTTAAAATAAACAGAAATGTATGCATTAATTAGCATTAATTAATGATGGCCAACATGATTTTATACCAAAACCATTCATTTAGCCAAAATCGAAACTGAAAATAAAGTGTATTTAATAATCAAGTAATCTATCAGATTGATTTAACAACAATCAAATAAAAACATTTGTATATAAACATCTTTTTAGTGATACAAGTGTTTATGGAAGCCTGTTTCCACCACTAAATAAAACATTTAAAATGGTAATTGTAACTTTTTATTTCACAGTTCTGATTATTTCTCAGAATTGTGTGATATAAACTCACAATTGCGTGACATAAATACTTATATTTTTCTGGAAATTCTGACTTGTTTTCTCAGAATTAAAAGATAAACCTGCAATTGTAAAAAGTCAAATTCTGAGGGAAAAAAAGACAATTTTCTTAACATAGCAAGTTTATATATTACAATTCTGATTGTATAACTCGCAATTAAGTCAGAACTGTGAGATATAAACTTTGCGACTTTATACCATGCCATTTTGAGAAAGAAAAAAAAAAAAGAGGCCAGAAATCTGAGAAAGTCACAATTACCTTTTTTATATTTATTCAGTGGCGGTAACAAGTTTCTATAGTTTTTATTTCAAATTGTTGTTGAAATATATTTATTCAAACATATATTAAATAATGAATTTCAAGTAAAAATATGATAAAAATGTAATATAGTGCTAATTTTTATCTAAATGCTCCTCTCCAGAGTTAGTTTTCCTTGCTGACTAATGAGCTATAGATATTGATTGGCTTTCTTGAGAAGATTTAAAGGGGTCATATGATGCGATTTCATTTTTTCCTTTCTCTTTGGAGTGTTACAAGCTCTTGGTGCATAAAGAAGATCTGTAAATTTGCAAAGACTAAAGTCTCAAATCCAAAGAGATATTCTTTATAAAAGTTAAGAGTCAGCCACACCCCCCTAAAACGGCTCGTTCGAACACGCCCCCACATATCTACCTCACTATGCGGGAAGATTTGCATAACGCCGCCCAAATGTTCAAGCAAAGAAAGGCGTAACTTTTATTCTCGCTGTAAGTATTGTTGCAGCCGCCATGTCGTGAAGACGCTGTGTGATTCGTTGTGAAAGCGAAACTACTTTGTTTGGTCTTCCAAAAGAGGACGATATCCGCTTCGTCATGCCTAGAGCTGATC